AGCACCTAGGAGAATATTTTATCGGCAAGAGCACCAGTGCTGCAGGTCTGCAGTCTGTTTCTAGATATGGATAACTCTTCATAACTTCTCTCAGCCTTTGTTTAGGCTAGCAGAAAGGACAAGCTCTTCTACTTTTATCTAAATAAAAGACACTACAGGATCCTAACAGTTCTGTTTTCTGCTGTTCTAGTTCCTGCTGTTGAACACCTATGTGCAGGTTTAGTCATTCAGTATTTCTTATGCTTTGTAGAATTCTATTGATATTTACCCGTTTCTACTAAGCAAAAGCATTTTTAGTGCCTTTTTGAATTTGTGTGAACTACTTGCACAACTGCATGTAGCTGCTAGTTTTCCTTCTGGCCAGAATAGCCAGGCTTTTCTTCTTCCTTCAGTTCTGCTTTATAGCTGTAGATTTTATAATTGATCCCTTGCAATTTCGCATGCTTTTCAGTATGATGGCCTGTTCTTTCTCAGAATGGGCACTATCTTCTGACTGTTCTATTAGTTCTTGCAATGCAGCTTGTATTTTTACCTTGCAAATCAACATGTGAAGCAAACCAGCTTCCCAGTAAACACCACTGGTGATTCTTATTTATTCTGATAATTGGTCTGCTAAGATTTTCCTGTATACAACTGCTGTATGGGATTAATTGACTAACCTTTACTGTGTCTGTATGGTTGAACTTCCTAAAAGGTACTCACAGCTGCTCAGGTCTGCTAGCTTATTGCTTTCTAAGAAACCCTCTGTTAGTGCAAAATGGGACCAGTAAGCTGTTTGTAATGGAACAGCCATGATTTTGCTGGGTTTTTTTCTGTGTCTTGAAGTCCTTAATTACTGTGCTTAATTAGTTCTCTTCAAAATCTGTTCTGACATTTAAAATAATGTCTATACTTGAGTGAATATATTTCAGTTGTTTTTATTATAGATTTACTTTTTTCTGTCATAGAGTGCCATAACATTACAAATTAATAAAATTTTTGGTCATAGATTCACACTTTTTACATTAGCCTTGCTCTGACTGGGGGGTTTGACATCTTGAACTCTGTTTCAACCTGAATTATTTCATAAATCTATGAGCTTCTTCCATGCACTAGGGTGAGTAATACTTGGATTTTTAAGGCTTTTTTGATAGATTAGGCAGCTGAGGAGTGTAAGGTTTTGTTTGACTGTGTGGTTAAATAGCAGTATCTTTGTTATGGATACTGTTGGAATACTCCTGTATGCTTGCTGCACTATCAAAATTGTCTTGCTTCTGCTGGGTCCTGCATTTGCGTCAAAACAACCCCATGCAGCGATACAGGCTTGGGGCAGAGTGGCTGGAAAGCTGCTTGGTGGAAAAGGACATGGGGTGATGGTCAACAGTGGTTGAGCCTGGGCCAGTAGTATGCCCAGGTGGCCAAGCAGTCCAATGATATCCTGGCCTGTATTAAAAATAGTGTGGCCAGCAAGACCAGGGAAGTGATCATCACCCTGTACTCAGCACTGGTAAGGCCAGATCTCGAGTACTGTGTCCGGTTCTGAGTCCCTCACTTCAAGAAAGACCTTGAGGTGCTAAAGTGTGTCCAGAGAAAGGCAATGGTGAAGGATCTAGAGAGTAAGTTATATGAGGAGCAGCCGAGGGAGCTGGGGTTGTTTCTCCTGGAGAAGTGGGGCTCAGGGGAGACCTTATCCTCTACAACTACCTGAAAGGGGGTTTTAGTCGGGTGGGGGTTGGTCTCTTCTCCCAGGCAACAAATGACTAGGCAAGATAAAATGGCATCAAGCTGTGGCAGAGGAGATTCAGGTTGGTTGTCAGGAAGAATATTTTCATGGAAGGGGTTGTCAAGCATTTGAATAGGCTGCCCAGATGGTAGAGTCACTGTCCCTGGAGGTGTTCAAGAAACAACTGGACACGGCGCTTAGTGCTGTGTTTTAGGTGGCATGGTGGTGTTCAGTCTAAGGTTGAACTCGATCTTGGAGGTTTTTCCAACCTTTTTGATTCTGTGATACTGTATCTACCACTTTTAATACAAATTTATTGCATAGAATTTGAAGATTTTCATTTTTCTCTCTGACTTAAGGATTTTTTTGCTTTTATCTTCAACTTGTTGATTTCAGGAATTATTGAAAATAACATACCATTACATCTCTTTGTTCCCCGGCTGTAAATGGTTCTGGGTATGCACTGTCTCTTATATTCAAATAGTGCCTGGCATATGTCACCCTGACTTCTGCTCTATGATGTTAATAAATTTACTTTCTCCTTGATCTCATGGTTGAAAGGTGGAGTCACTAAGAGATATGTACTAAACCCAGAATTCAGTAGAAAATGATGTTACCAGTAGGAGTCATATACAGCCTTAAAATACTTATTTTTTTGTTTCTGGCTGTAGTACATGACATTTTTGGGTAACAGTCCAATGTGAAACATTAGTTTGATGCAAATTAGTCTTCTCAGATCAAACTTAGTCTCCTTCTCTTAGAGTCTGATTCATTTAGAAACATAGTATCAGGTTTTGCTTATGTAAAACTAAATAAGGTTATATAAATATTCTTATCCTGTGTCCTTACTTATATGTAAAATAAATAAGGTCATAGGATTTTCCTGCATTTCTGCATTCCTAATTTAATCCGAGTTTTTTGTTAGGTATTGTTTTCAAATAGTCTTTGTACTTATATTTTGGGCTGTGTTTGCAGGAGCGTTAGGAGTTTGTTGCAGTTTGTATTAGGAATAAAGCACTAATGTAATTATGCACGTTATTCTTCGTGGGAAATAAAGTCTGAACAATTATAAAGTCAGCCCAAAAGTGCTAAACTGACTCTTGCCCAGCTTAACATTGCATGTGTGTATTGGAGCCAGAAAAGGCAATTTAATGGATTTGAAAAAGAAACAAGGAGGGTCTGAGTAAACAGGGTAACAAGGTAAACTCCCAGCTTAGCAGTCAGCAAGGGCCAGGAAGCTATGAAAGTGGCAGAAGGATGCTGTAATAAGGGTTGCTAGGCTACTGCAAGGTAAGCTCTTAGACTGCTGCTCAGCTATGCTGAGCATTTTTACTACCCAGCTGCTAAGTAATCTGTGTATAGTATTGTTGTTTTCCTGGCTACCATCTGGAAAGGGAAGTTTGAACTGCTAGGAAACGTTGACCCGTTGTAGTATGAAACTTGGTCACATGCCAGTTATTACCTTTTGCAAGACTGACTGTTTTTGGTTTCGGTCACATTGACTGACAAGGAATGTCAGGAATTCTGCTGAACATGTTTGTAATGGAATAGCAAACAATAGGTCTTTGATTCAAGTATAAAAATATAAAAACTGTTGCATGAATTTAACTTGTTCTGGTGGTTTTCATTGGTGAGCTCTTGGTTTGTCTGTACCATTTTGGTCGTCGTTTCTTCTACTCAGTGTTAAGAAGCTTATTGAAAATAGAATGTGACTTTTTTTCTTTTGACTGGGTTTGCTGCATTTTTTTAATATTTGTAGAAGTGTTATTCATCTGTATTAGTAAAAATTATTTCTTTCAATTGCAATTGCAAGGTCATCAGTTTTTCCTGTGTAAGGGAGGGTAATTCTTCATCTGCTTTTTTATTAATGGGTTTCATGTACTGTATTTTGCCATGCATACAGGTGGTGAGCACATGGGTTTATAATCCTTGTTACTTCTAATTTAATTTTTGGTCTTTGTCCCAGGAGATCACTTTAACAGAAAGTTAAAATTAACAGTTGCTACCACATGCGTTGACAGAGGAACTGAATATGGGATTAAAATCATGGTGTCTTAAAATGTTTCCAGCTGTTGTCTCCATCCTTGTGAGCTCTGACACAATAACCCTATTCTTTTTTCTTGTAATGCTGTTTTGTGAAGAAGTATTACATCTCTGCCAATAGCAAAGGGTTGCAAACAAGTCTGACACTGAATACACACTGTAGGATGCAACAGCCAAAAAAAGGATAATTTACTCTTTAAGATTCATAAAGGTGCACTGGATATAACATAACAGGGATTTGATCTGAGTCCAGTGTCCTGTTGCCAGTTGGGTACTCTCAAGGCAAATTAACTACCCTGGCATATAGTCTCCCACCTTGTTCTGGTTTGTGGCCCAGGGATTTCTTGAAATTTAAACCCACTTTTTTTTGCATAAGTGCTCTATATCAAGTTGTCTTCTGTGAATTTGTGTAGGTGCATTTTAAATCTATGTAAAATAATAGTATTGCCATACTATGCCAATAATTCCAAACTTCACCTGCCTGTGTGTTGTGTGAATGGTTGCCACGTGTTTGATTCTTATCTGCTAATTTTGCTCACTGATGTCCATATCTTGTATTGAGAAACTGCAAACAGTTGTTTCTATAGCTCTCTCCATTCCATAGATGGTGTTAAGTAGATTCTGTTTGCAGATGTTTCTTTTCCTAGGTAAAGGCTTCTTGTCTATTAACCATTATTTGTAGCTGTGGATGTGTAATTTTGAGCACTTGACTTGTGTCCTTCTCTGTGCCTCCTTCAGTTTCATGACATACTTTTGAGATGAGTAGGAGTCAGGATTGGGTTCAGTATTATTATTATTATTTTACACAGTGACAATATGTGTCCTGATTTGTTTTCAAATAAGAATTTTTAACATTTGGACTTTGTTTAGTACTGCTGCTGTTTTTATTGCTTCAGAATCTTGTTCAACATGAATACCTTTGTCGCAGCCAGTCATCATCTGAGACATTAAGATTCTGGGCTTTTCTTATGTGCTTTGCTCTATACCTCCAATGGATTTCTTGAGCTAGTTTTAATATATACTCACACAGTTGCTTAAAGAACTCATGGCAGTGTAGGTATTTCTTGCTTTTATAGCTTAGAATAGCTCAGAATTATCAGAAACCATTATCATGCTTATAAAAATTGCAGTAATATTTTCACAACATTCAAAATCCACAATTATGTGTGCAGTGCAAGTTGTATTGAAATTAGTAACAGGAATGGGTATTATTTTTATTGCCATTGCATTAATTTATAAACTCAATCTTTTGCAGTTTTGTTGCTAGAGAAGATGGAACATGATGACATTTGTAATAAAACTCTGAAGATTACAGACTTTGGTCTGGCAAGAGAGTGGCACAGAACAACCAAAATGAGTGCAGCAGGGACTTATGCATGGATGGCTCCAGAAGTTATCAAATCCTCCCTGTTTTCCAAAGGAAGTGATATTTGGAGGTAAGAACCTTGTCTGCTGAAGACCACGTTCAGTGGAACTGTGTTGATGTTTTTGAGTGAACTTTTATTTGGTTCTGAGTGGTCTGATAGGCTATTGTGTCAACATATGGCAAGTTTAGCTCTTCTAAGAAACATACACATTTCTAAGTATCTACTTCATTTGGTCAACCCGTAATTATCCAGGACTTACAAATTGGGGAGGGAGAAGGAAAGTAACAGAACTTTTTTTTTTTTCTTTTTAAAGCAAGATCTCATTGAGAGCAATCTTGTTTTAAAGTATCTACTGGTTAAGATACCTAAGTATTTCTCTGGAGTCTTAATATAAATAACTGTATGTTCTTGATCTATTAAGATATGATTGATGTCACATTGGTATGTTTGCTTTATATCAGAGGTCTGAAAACTCTCAATCTACTTAAATAACAGGACTAGCCAATTATTACCTTATATGTCTGATGAATAAAAATAAGCTACAGACCAGAACTTTGCCAAATATTAGCTTGAATTAGTGCTGGTTTTAGGAATCCAGAATAGGGTTGTGTGTAGAAGTGAACACTAGGTTTCAGCTTCTACATTTACAGAGATTTTGCTTCCAGTAGCTGTAGTGAGGAGAGTGTATTCAGCATAAAACTGTTTTAACTTGCTCTCTAATTTTAAAGGTGGGAAACGCCCTGTGTTAAATTTGTGAATTTCTTGTTAAAGATGTTATTGTGGATCATATAAATAATATAGCTCTCACTACGGATGCTATTTTTGAGTGGTGTAGTGTGGGATACATGTATTGTAGAAAGGTAATTTAAACTTTAGTTTTAATTTAGCTCTGTTTTGTGAGTGCAGAAAAGCAGTGCTTGCACAATAGTATCTAAAAGCTGCTGTGCCTCACCCGGAAAAGTCTGTGTTTCCTTTCTTTTTGATATGTTTTCTCTGAAGGATCCAAGACAGCTATTTGGGAAGGAGGGGAGGATGTTAATCTGGTTTCTCATGCCTTCTTATGCATGTTCTGTGTTGTATAATGCTTAAATAGGGTCCTGTTTTGCTTAGATGCCTGATATTCTACAGTGTGAAGTAATACTTCTGGTATGCTCAGGATGATTCTGTATCTGCACTGCTGTTTTGTGACACTCATTTGTCTTGTGTTTGGAACCAATTTTTTTTATATCAGTCTGAGTTGATGCCCAGTTGGGAAACATCTTTGGCTTCGTTCTTGTTTTTCCATTCTTTCTTTCTTTTTTCTTTAATTTTTTTCTTTTGCGGGATGGAGGTTGGGTGTAGGCGTTTCCCTAATCAGCTGTATTCCATGCTTGATTACAGGTCCTGTCCAGTCTTGTTGCTGTGATTTTAGGTATCTGAGGGGGTATGCTTTGGTGCAATTATTTTATATTCTGCTGCAACATTAGTTTACATTTTTGGAACCTACAGTATTTCTCTTCTTCGCCTTCTCTTCTGCACGCCTCTCTTGTAAAAATGTAAGTATTTAGTTCAATGATGGAAGTTTAACAGGAGAGGTTTTTAAGTAGAAAGGCTGTGTTTTACAGTATAGTTTAGACCTTCTTGGCTTCTAAAGATTTTCTGCTTACTGCACCTTGATCTGTTCTGTTGCTTATCTTTACTCTTTCTTTAAAGGAATAGCAAATAGAAAATACCCTGGTTACAGGAGTGGTTTTTGTTTTAAAAAGCATTCAGGTTACCAGTTTAAGTATGGGTGTCTCTAAGGACAAAAACACAATGTGTTTCAGGAAAATACTAAGCTTGTTACATCATGTACTGGGTGCTGAGTCTCCAAATGAAGCCTGCAGACCTTCTATTAGGAAAAAAAAGAGCAGTTGAGGTTGCTTAAGTTGAGGCACCTCACAGTTGCAGCTAGTCTTCTGGAATCAGCCAGTGCTGGGAAATGTTGTGGGAGTATTTTCATGCAGACCCTTCGAGGCTGCATGTTCTTAGGTGTCATCCTAGATAGCAGAACTAGTGCTTTCCAGGCCCTGCATGTGTTTCCTTTTGCTTTCCAAACTGGAATTTTAACCACTACATTTATTATTCTTTGGCATATGCTTCCTAATTCCCAAACAAGATTTCCACTCTTTCAGCCCTACCCTTCCATTGATCATCACACATTTTAGTGGTATGTCAGTCTTGAGTTTGTGTATGGAGCCTGAAAGTGCAAATATGCCCACGGATTTCTAAGTGCTGATGGTGTGCTTAAGCAGTGGTCTTTCCAGTAATGTGTGTCTCTATTGTACAAGCCCTTGGCAGAGCTAGGAAGCACTTACTGCATAGCAAAATTAGCAGCTGCTTTTGCCTGGCACATTTGTGTGAATTTGAAGTGATTCATATAGCAGTGCTTAGTAACCTCTGCTTTAGAAGATGGATTGTGGAGTAAAACTTTGAGAACTTAACCTTCAGATTTTCAGCTTTTAATATATATAAAACCAGCAAATGTTCACTGGAACAAGGTATATTAAGGCTTAAGTCACATTTGACTGCATGAAAATGGATTTTTAATAACAAAGCTAGTTAACATACTTCTGAAAGTGTATTAGTTTTTGTGGTTTAAAAATGTGTGTTTCAAGCTTATGCCTGTGTTTTTTGGCCTTTTGCTGACGATGGAAAGGGACATGGCTTTTATTCTTTTTAAAAAAGCTATTTCTTAGAAGTTCTGTCTGTATACATAGGACAATTGTATGTGGGCTAGTGAACAAAGCAGCTACTTCTGTAGTTGAGAGAATTCATAGTTGTTGTTCTAGATAATGATAGATTAGTACCTCCCAAAAACTCCAGCATGACAAGAGTATAATGCCTTTAAGCTTCCTCCTCACACTTTTTCCCCCACAGCACTGGCTCTTGGTACTTGATATTAAGACTGCATTCATTAAAAGATGCTCTCAGGCTATTACTGTGTTGGTCTGTTTAAAACTTTACAACCACCTTCTTGGCACTTTTGAGAACTACTTAAGATTAAAGGCTTGAATTGTAAACACAACTGAAGCTAATAGTGTGGCACAACTTTTTCTTTTTAGTTATATTTAATGTTCTGCTTAACTTCAGAGTTCATGCTAAAATATGTATAGAATAGTCTGAACAAGGGAATTCCTTGACTTTAGAACATTCTGTGCTTGCTGAGAGGTTTCTTATGCTTTCTCTAAGCACACAGATGAGCTGTAGTTCAGTAGAATTCCTCCATCAGGCATAAAATGTGTATGTACCACAGGAAGTGTTGTATTCATTATTGTGAGAATACCACTGCTTTAAACCAAGTTGGAATTAATTATTTTATCCTTCTTTGAGTATACAAGCAAGTGCAGAGATTAGACCAGAAAAATCATGAGGAAATTAAGAAGCCTAAGACCTCTTCTAGTCCTTTGGTGGCTGGTACAAACCATTTTCCTCAGCTTTTGCTTAAGTGTTGGCACTGTAAATTCAATAGTTTTCTAAGATTTTATGAGGGGAAAGAACTCTTAGATAAACAGACTATGGATAAACAAAGCACTGATGGTACTTGTGCTGATATCACATAGTTTGCTGTTTTATTATCTATTAAAGTGATGTTGCAAGGTCTTGTGTAATGCTGACTGACTTTTTCTCATTAAGTAGAGAGAGATAGAAAAAATTAACTAGTATATGTTCTTCTCCCTGTCACATCTGCTCTACTTGAGGTGGTATTTCTAGTATTAAGGGGTGCATAGCCCTTACTTCCCCAGTGCTGTGTGGATTTCACCTTATGCTGGAGACTTCAGTCCAGTCCTGCAAAGTTTGCAGGTGGTTTTCTTGCACACCTGAGGAGAAGGGGCAAGAGCAGTAGTTTTTCTGGGGTTTTTTCCCCTTTGCCTACTGACTTTACTATTCAAAAGCAGCAATAGGTTGTCCTTTGTATCCTTGTTCAATACTTAGTGGTTCCTTGGCAGGAAGAGAAGGGAAGAGGGGCGGGCAGAGTGGGGGAGGAGGGGAACAAGAAACCAAACTCGGTCATAAATTCCACTTTAGGTTTACATTCCAAAAGGAATAATTCCTGCTTCCACAAAAATGGCTGTGATGAGTGATGGTAGCATAAGAGCTCTAGAGCAACAGCAGTGAACATGCTGTCCCAGCCCTTTGAAGGGGTTTGGGTCATTTGAACAAGCCAAGCATCAGGCATACAGACCTGAAGAAGGTAAAAGCAACACTCAGCTCTTCTTTTAGAGTGGAGAGCATAGCAGAAATTCTTCTAGTTAATGTTGCTGCAATAAGAATTCCTATGATTCTTCATTTCTGTACCTGACACTGAAAAGATCTCTTCATGCCGCCACCTTTTACTGGAAACAATGTTGTTTTGTTTGGGTTTTTGTTGTTTGGGGTTTTTTTCTAGTATATAGAAATTAGGTGTGTGTATGAAATAATTTCTCAATCTTGTTGCATCTTCAGTGGGAAGTGACAATTTAACTGGCCTTATATGCACACAAGGGGGTTAACAATGCAGGCTTTCAAGTAAAAGCTGGGGGGTTTCTATAGTTTTTATTATTTTAAAAAGTATAAATAGCATATACATCTAGGTAAATTGTTGTGAAATATTTGGAAAGGGAAATGGCCTGAATGCTCTGCTGAGGATTTCTTTTTATTGTTTGTTTTGTTTGTTTCGGGTTCGGTGGGGAGAAAATTGCTTGTTTTCCTGTAATTCAGGCTTCTGATTCTAAGTCAGATATATGTAATACTAACATTTCTATGGAAGTGGCTTGAGGAATACATTTTGAATAGGAGCGTGAGCCAGTCTTAAAGTTGCATCCAGTTGGGTTAATCGCTACTAGTGGAAAGGTGCAAGATGACAGAAGTAGAGCTGACTCTTCAAGGCACTCACCTTTGACTGAGAAATCCTCATGAATTTCAGTACATAGTTGGACAGATACTTGTTTATTCTTGAGTAAACAGTGTGTCAGTATTCAGAAAATAACTGTTAAATAAAATTACCTTTTGTAGTTACGGAGTGTTGCTGTGGGAACTGCTTACAGGAGAAGTTCCTTACCGTGGCATTGATGGCCTTGCTGTGGCTTATGGAGTTGCTGTCAATAAGCTTACATTGCCCATTCCATCCACCTGCCCTGAACCATTTGCAAAACTAATGAAAGGTAGCTATGTTGTTCCTTCCTATGTATTTAAATAATTATCTTTTGGGGGTGTGTATCCTTGCCTGTAATAGTCATGTGGTCACAAAATAAAGAGCTCATTTGATAGTGTGCTGTGTACTCAGTACGTCGTTTGTCTTTACACAGCAATCTGGTGTTACAGACAGTTGGGTGTGATTCTGAGGAAGTCATACAGTGTTACTGTGTTGCATATATGTTCTTCACTAGTGACAGGATACAGTTTTTGCTCTGATTTTAGAGATTCCTTTCACACTGAAATCATATTAATTTCCATAAATTGCAGGATATACTACAGATTAATACAAGATGAAGATTAAAATCCCAAGGGGAAGAATTGCAAATGCTAGGTTTCCTCATTGTTTCTTCCCGAGTGTCAAAAATGTTTTGGAAATACTTTAGAGAGAAATAAACTTTGCTTTCTAATGGCTATTTCCTTGTGTATAATTAATTTCTTTGCCTTTTATATGTACCCCTTCTGTGCAATACTATTAGTTTTGCTATTTCAGATGCTAAAGATAGAGATGAAAAAAAAATTACTAGTCATGTAAGCAGAGGACTGTTTTTATAAGTAGGTAAATATAACCTCTTTAAATTGAGAAGAAACTAGTGAAGCCCTGCAGGTAAAGGAAACACATTAGAACTTGAAATATGCAGTAACAAGTAACTTGAAATTCACGTAGTAATTCTAAAAGTTCTATGTACTATTAAAAACTGACGGGATTTTGATAAATTCTAGAATGCTGGGAGCAGGACCCTCATATCCGACCATCGTTTGCCTTAATTCTTGAACAGCTTACTGCCATTGAAGGGGCAGTTATGACTGAAATGCCTCAAGAGTCTTTCCATTCCATGCAAGATGACTGGAAATTGGAAATTCAGCAGATATTTAATGAATTGAGGACCAAGGAAAAAGTAAGTTGATTTTTCTAATTGCATGGCAGTGAAGAAAGGGTGTGTGTGTGTTTATGTGATGCCGCAGTTTTTTGATTTTTGAATTGTGCCTTTCCATTGTACTCGTTCAAGTATACTGGGCAATTGAAAAAGAAACATATGCACACCTGTTGCCCCAAAGAAAACACATTGTAGATCTGTAAGTGTGACATTCTAGGCTCTTTTTAAAAATGTGTTATTTTTTTCTTGAATGCTTGATAGTATCACTTCAGCTGAATTTATCCCCTTCCAAATCTTTATAATCACTGCAAATTTTCAACTGCTGTTGAACATTCTCCTCAGCTGTGGGAATGAAAAGACTTTCATCCTGCTATATGACTATATCCTGTGGCTTTTTTTCAAAAATGGAATAATGCTTTTGTCTCTCTTGTTCCTGAACAGACTCATAATATGGATGTCTTTCAGTGTTGCAGTTTGGGCCATATTTTGCCAGATGTTAACACAGTCAAGCTTATATTCATGAATCAGCAAATTCAGCGTTTCTTGTTTATTCAGATTTCTGTCACTGGTGTTCTTTTCATATTCTCATATCATGCCAAATGAGTAGTTGTCAATTCTCTTTGCCCTCCCTTTTAGTCACAGGTTTTAATTACCATGAGTTTTAGATTTTGCTTTAGACAACCTGATAAAGGTAACAGTTGGAATAGGCCACGTATCCTCTTCAGTCCCTGTTAAAAATGTTCCTAGTAGAAACAGATTCCATCTTTGCAGGTTTTTCTTGCAGTATAATTTTTGCCCAGTTTATATTTGTTGTTATTTTTCATGAAGTGATATTAGCTAAGGAAGAAGATGATTGAGATGCAGTGACTTGTGAAGATATTGTTATAAGTTGTAGTCCCTTAACTTTGGCAAAAGAAAAAACTAAACTCATCTTGCAAGTCACTGTTTGTAGCCTTTGTCCTTCGCTTCTTCTCTTCAAGGGTCACAAATGGCTGTTTGCAGACTATTGGCTAGTGGTGAGTGTGACATTAGATACCTAGTGTAATATCAGCATATGTGGTATTAGAATTTATTGATCACCCATAAGATTGCAGTGTCATCAATAATAATCTTACATACTTCCTATCTACTGTTTCTTCCACCTTCTGCATTTCCCTCTTCTATTTTGGTTCCCAGAACTGGGTAAGTGTTGTTTGTGCAGTCTCTGCCATGCCTGCTGCAGTGGATGTACAGGATGCTGGAGCTGTGCTGTGTGCCTCAGTAGCTGTCAGATCTCTTCCTTTGCAGATGAGTTATAGTCCCTCTACAGAGAGTTGAGGCTTACTTTTTACTTGCCTTGGGGTCACCAGCTCTTGTGTTTACTTGCCACAGCCTGCCGTAGAGCAGAACTCTCTGTTCGGCCCCTCCAGCAACTGCTCAACCAACCACTTTCCCTTTTTACTCTGGGAGCAATTGTAACAGACATTCCCATACGGTTTTCGGGTTTGTTTGGGGTTTTTTTATTTTATGTTCTGGAGGCATATGAGATTTCTTGTAGAAAAAAAATCTGACAAAATCAAGTTTAGGATTAAATAGGCTGGTGAAAAGGTTTGGGAGAAGAGTCATATTTCTGGTGTAAGAGTGAGTTAAGCTCAATTAGGGAGGGGAAAAGATAAAGTAAAATGTACTTCTTATATGCCAAAGTGCCTGCATCTCCAGAGGCATCTACCCCAATTAGATAAACTTGTTTAAGAATGAAAGCATATAACTTTGACTTAGGCAAGGTTTTCATATGTGCAGGCTTATTTAACTTGGCACATTATAAATTCTGCTGTCAGGTACTAGGGGGAAAGTAATGTCTATAAAGTATTTATATAATAATAATAAAGAAACAAGCGAAAAGCTTCTGCGTGGAGGCTCATGCCCTGTGAAAGAGGAACTTCTGTAGCTGGAGGAATTTCCTCAAGGGCTTGCTGCAAATGAGTGATGGTGACACCCACTCCAAGAGGAGATCACAATCTTCTTTTGACAAACGTTCTTGAGCAACTTAAATATAGAATTCTTTCCTAGCTTCCTTGCAATGGGTGTTTTAATTGCAGAGTGTTGTGGACACATTGCATAACTAATTGCACTAAGTCTGATTTTAATTAGTTTATTTGCAAAAGAATAAACACTTAATCTCTCAGTGAGGAAACACTATTACTTTTTCTAGACTGACTGTCGTTTCAGTACAGGCCCTCAATTTTTTCCTGGTTACTGAGCGTTATGGAACATGTATTTGAGGACAAGGAAAGATGGAAAATCAACAGTATCTCCTAATGCACCTTTAATACTGTAATAATGCAGTAGTAAAGATCTTTTCTATTTAAGCTCTAAAGTACCTTTAGTCTAAATTTGAATTCATGTAGCTTCTGCTTTCAACCCTTGTTTTAGGTTGTCCTGTTATGACTGGACAAGATGAGGAAGAAAGTGAGGATTTGCAGCAGTCTATAAATTAAGTTATTTAATATCTTTAAAAAAAACCCAAACAGATGAGCACAACTCAAAGCCTTACTTGCTGGCATGAAGACAGGTTCCTTGGAAGTTCCAAGAGGCAGAATTGCCTTTAGCAAAACAGGGCATGTTAAGTGGATCAATTAGAAAAAAGAAAAGGAAATTTTTTAACATTTCAAATATTATGTTGAAACAAGCTCAATCAGAATTAGCAAACTATATGAAATTTGTCAATCATGTCAGTTAAATTTGAGAACCAGGATAAGCAGTGTGTGTGCTGTAGCTGCAAAGGAAAAAAACAAGGATCTTTCTGAGGAACAGATATTTCTCACTGAACCTGTTTGCTTCAATGCCAACCTGTCTTTTGGCACCCATAGTCTTTTTGGCAAGAGCATTTGAACATCCCCTCATTTGAAAACACTGAAGTAGTGTAGTTCAGGTAGTAATTTATTCAAGGCAAAGTGGGAGTTAAGAAGTTGTCGTGGTTTAAGGAAAAAAACAAGGATCTTTCTGAGGAACAGATATTTCTCACTGAACCTGTTTGCTTCAATGCCAACCTGTCTTTTGGCACCCATAGTCTTTTTGGCAAGAGCATTTGAACATCCCCTCATTTGAAAACACTGAAGTAGTGTAGTTCAGGTAGTAATTTATTCAAGGCAAAGTGGGAGTTAAGAAGTTGTCGTGGTTTAACCCCACCCCA